GCTCGGTGATCAGTTGAGGGGCGCTAATTCGCAAAATAAGGTGATTTTAACTACTTGTCAATGATATTTTGGGTGGCGACTGGGGGCGGGGGCGCGAGTAATTAGGGGCTCCCCCAGTAAATGCGCCACTGAGCACAAGAGCGTCACCAACAACGGTGTGGATATTTTGTATAACAAGAGTGCATGACTTTCAATATAGGAAGAACTATATTGAGGAAACTGGTAGTTCAAGCAATTTGATTAAATTCATGATCGAATGTCTAAAATAATCAACAACAAAAATAACAGCAATTAACTGTGATACCATTACATTATTTTTAAATACAATGCATTTTTGGTTATTTCTTTCGTATCCAACAGTAACTCGTCAATTAAGGATTGAACGGTGCGTAACGAGTGGAGTTCAGGCCTATACTTCTGATCTAATTAATTCCTATATTTTCATGATCAGATCAGTGTTGGAATATTGCTGTACTGTTTGGGGGACTTGTTTAACTAAGGAACAAAGTTCAGACCTCGAATCAACCCAAAAGGGGGAATTGGGCATCGTGACACCTGGTATTCCTTATGAAAAAGCCTAACCTGCACACTATCTCATCACTCGCTGATCGTCGCCTCTCACTCTGTAAGAACTACTTTAGAAAAATTAAAATCACCTTCCCATAGATTGCATTTCATTTTAACGTCTTCTCCCCCACCCCCCAAAAAAGAAGAATTACAATCTTAGAAACAATCGTGAATTTGTTCTTCGTAAACTCAACACGGAACGTTAAAAACATTTTATTACTACGTAGGGAGTTTTTCAAAGATGGTAAACCTAATACGTATTGTTAAACTTCAATCATTTGTTATCTATTCGTGATTTGCAATAAAGTAAAGTCGAGTTCTTTGAGTAGTGGTGTGAAAAAATCCTGCTGTCACATGACACCTGTGACAAGAAAGCAAACACATTAACAATTAGCTGCACTCCTAAGCTATATGATTTTTTTTAGGGTTATTATTTTCATCATCATCATCATCATCATCATCATCATCATCATCATCATCATCATCATCATCATCATCATCATCATCATCATCATCATCATCATTATTATTATTATTATTATTATTATTATTATTATTATTATTATTATTATTATTATTTGGGTAGTATATTGATCAATAATCTTTTTTATTGTTGAAGAACATACCATATTTCATATTAGAGTTTTGTTGTTAAAGTACGTTAATATTACCGTAATCAGTGTCCTGGATATCAAGAAGTCCTATTTTCTTGAGGTGAGCCGGTGTGGCAACCGAAAGAGACATGATTTCACCAACTGCCTCGTGGAAAGCACCGTTTGCCCCGTCGTGATAAACGTAAGGCTGGTCTGCATATTGTAGGTCATACTCTATATGCCCCATTTCATGATGAATCGTCAACAAATGGGACATGTGGACCTCAGTACACATCTTAATTCTACAAACACAAAGTATTATATAGTCACACGGCAAAAGCCTCAGCTGTGTCAATTAATGTTTTGATAAAGAACCAGCATTTTATCATCGGTAGTCTAGTCTTTATTTTCATCATCGTCATCATCATCATCATCATCATCATCATCATCATCATCATCATCATTATCATCATCATCATCATCATCATCATCATCATCGTCATTATTATTATTATTATTATACCAACATCATTATTATTATACCATCATTATCATCTCATCATTATCGTTGTTGGCGCCATTATCATCGTCATCTTTCTTATCATCATCATCATCATCATCATCATCATCATCATCATCATCATCATCATCATCATCATCATCATCATCATCGTTGTCGACGACGTTATTATTATTTCTACTACTACTACTACTACTGCTACTGCTGCTGCTGCTGCTGCTGCTACTACTACTACTACTACTACTACTATACTATACTATACTTCTTCTTATTATTATTATCACTATTATTATCATCATCATCATCATCATCATCATTACCATTATTATTATAACTATACCTAAAATAAATTTTAGCTTTTTTAGGATTCTCTCCCAGCATTGTATTAGTCAATCAAAGAAGAGAAGACCATATCCTTTATAGTCATATTCCAAATATGTGGACATGCATAAATATTAGGCCTAATGCCATGGCAAATGTGCAATATAATAATGAAAATAGTATATCATAGTCCAATATATACCCATATGAGAACATTGAGTTGTGTTGAGTTAAAATTATGATCGCATATTTCACGTGATAAGCATCCTATTGATAATGGTGAATAAATAACAAAACTTTCATTTGCAGGCTGTTTCATGAGATGTTCCTCATTCATAAGGAGAGGGCTCTGAATAAAGCTTAATTGGAATATATTACCTAGCACCGTGAAGAGACATTTATTGTATAGCAAATAATATTCAAATTGGGTTTGCTGCCTAGCACAGTAAACACAACATGAAAAATGGATAAATAAAAGGACTGCTCGAATATAAGATAATAATGTACTGTTAAAATCATTTCAAACATTAATCTCTTTAAGTAAAAAAATCATTTTTTCATCTGCATGTCGAGATCGAACCTACTACTTCTTGTAATAAGGCAAGTGTCATACCGCTAGAACCCAGATACTCTCCAGTTGCATACAAAAATGGCTTTGGAGGAAATCGAAGGAAGTTGTTATTGAATAGCTACCGGTATGCTTTTTTGAAACTATTTTGACAAGCTATGTCACTTAATAATGTCACGATAATAAAAACATTGGTTATTTCAATAGTATCAGTTTGCGGTACCACAAATATAGCTTACGGGAGCGCCAAACGACACACAACCTGTTCTGTAATACAAAACCATGTTTGTAAGGAACAAATTATGTTTTGTAATAGACGAAAGTTATTCTGTCTTTACAAAAACATATTTGTCTGTATAAAACATGTTTTGTAATAGACAAAACCATGTTTG